TGCGGAGTCTGGCGCAGCAGAACCAGCGCCCGTGTCTGATGCAAAGCTCTCGATTCTCACTCTCTGTTCTGTGACACCCAAAGCTTGCTTGCCCGGCTCCCTCAAAAAGTAGCCCAGTGTGATCTTGACATTGTCAGTCAACACTATGAAACAGAAATGTCTTCGAAAGGTCTTTTGTTGGAAACGCACATATTCTGACCCGGTTCCAGACAAGGCAGCGCCCCCACCACATCAGGAGAGCCACTGCACAGTGGCTTTATTTCGCTGTCCCGAGGTGGATGAGGGTCATGATTGTGGTGTAGCTGTGGAACAGGTCATCATCCTTGACCTCGCCGCACTTCCTCAGTGTGAAGTTCCCTGTGACGACGCGGTCACACCCAATCTCCCCATTTCCAAAGAAGCCGAACAAGGGCACGCTGGGGAAGAGCTTTCGGAAGGCATCGGCCTCCACGTTGCCCTTGGCGCGGTAGTACTGGAAGCCCCGGCCCACGCACGCAAACATGAAGCCGAAGGTGTTCTGCTCCGGGATGTGGGCCGCCTTCAGCCGCTGCAGCGCCGCCTCGGCGGTCTTCTCGTCGTTGACATCCTCGCTCAGGAGCACCGTGGCACTCTGGATGCGGTGCCCGCTGAACGACAGCCCAACGACGCCAGTGGCATCGATGTCCAGAGGGTTCCTAAGACAGGACACAAGTGGCAACACAGCTTGACATGCAAGTTCAATGTGTCAGAAAACAAAGACTGACCCTCAAGGGGCACTTGGGAGCTGCTGCTGTTGGCCTTCTGTTGGTCGAAGGCTCCCTCTTCCAGAGAAGGAGTGCAGGCGGGTCGAGACCCCCACCCTCTGTGTGAAACAACAAAGAAGCCAGAACCGTGGAGGGACGATCCACAGCTGCTTCCAGTCAGAAGTACCAAGTGACAAGGGTGCCTCCACAGATGTTTCTAGAAGCTCCCCCTTGACATCAGCAGGGTACGGAGCCTCATTTCCCACCTGATGTTCTTAGGTGAAAATGCCTTACTGTTTCATGGCCATGAACCTATCAAATAAAGCTGCCGTGTAGTTATACCTTTGATGGTTTTTTTCTACTTGAGCCTTCAAATTCTCAGAGACGGGCATGACAAATATCACAGAGCATACGTTTAGCAAGAAACTGTATATTGTTGAGGTCATAAAAGAAAAAAATTCATTTGATTGCTTAGAGCCGGGAACTTTCTGTTTGCATCTGCCTAGTATGCCTTATAATAAAATATTTTATCCTTGTCTATGAAAACTCAACATATTGTGAATACGTCCTGAGGTAGACTTGTACTGTTAAGCCAATCCCGTCCATTTGTACCAAGATGGCATCAGAGTTCAAGATAAGGTACAGGGCGGGTCTAAGGCTCAAAAAGGTCGAAGAACACAAAACAAAAATTTACTTTCTAGGGCATGATCAAGGGGAACCTAACACTAACAA